TATATGATAAAACTGAAAAAAGCATTACTTCTATCTGGTCCTGACTAGAATAATAATTAGCTTTTAATACACATAATGCAAAAAGCTGCATATTTAATATAGAACCTATTTTCATAATATACTGCTATACCTATAAATGTGTGTGTACGTATAATTCAAAATATTAAGGACATGACTTGTTTTAACGGCAATATAAAGGAACAAATAAAATGTAAATTGTACAACATAAAACTAAATGAAGTTATCACGACCGGAATATGTTAATCAGATATCAAAACAACAATATTTAATATAATACAGCGTGGTTATTTTATTATATGACATATGCATTACATATAACTAAAACATAAATAATATGGTCTTCTTTTAATGTTGATGTATTGTAGGAACTGATATATTTATAGAAATTAATGAAAGGAACGTTGGGTATATATTAAGGCTGGAAATCGAATACGAATAATTCGAGTATTCGAATATTCGAGTATTCGAATACGAATTATTCTAATCGGAAAATTATTCGAATATCGAATTTGAAATATTCGAATACTGAATATATTCGAATACTCGAATACATTCGAATACTCGATTATTCGAATACTCGAATATATTTGAGTATTCGAAAATTCGATTATATTTGAGTAAATTTGAATATTAAAATATATTATTATAATTATGTGAGAATAGGTATGCAGTATGCATCCAACCAAAGTAGGTAGATAGTAGGTAAGTAGACCTATTCTAAAATCCAAATATATAAATAGACCACATTAGTGGCACGTTTTACTTACAGTCAAAGTATTCCATCTCTTTCTCGCCTCGACCTTATTCTTACTGTACTAAGGCAGGGGTTAAAATTAAATTTTAAATTTTAGAAAACCTGTAAATATTTAACTATTGACTTTTCATGTATTTGTTTTACCTTCACAACCTGCGTCTTTTTTAAAAACATTCTAATTTTAGAGCTCTTTTATTTTTTTCGAAAAGGAAAGTAGTTATGACACAGAAGTATAATAAACTAGCTCTATTTTCGTTTTATTTAAGCCTCAATAGTAAAATATGAACAATAGCTCCTCAATCCTAAAATAAAATACTAACTAAATAATTCTGACCCTTAAAGCACATGTACAGGAGACATACCCTGTTGTGGGTATAGAAAGCAAATCAAATTGCCTGCTTAGTGGATTACGTCACGACTATTATTGTGGTCTATCCAACCACATACTCAAATAGAGTATTCACTATTCACTAGTATTCAGTGCTATACCTATTAATTATGAATAATCGAGGATCCGGATTATTCGGATATCTATTCGAATAATTCGGATTATTCGAGTATTCGAATATTCGAATTATTCGAATAGGTATTCGAATAATTCGAATTTTAAATAGTATTCGAATTATTCGATTATCTGAATACTTGAATAACTGAATATTCGAATATCCGAATAATTCGAATACCTATCCGAATAATTCGAATAATTCGAATAATCCGAATATTCGAATATCCAAATAGTTTGAATATTCGAATATTTTTTCGAACGAATATTCGAATACTAAAATCTGGAAAATTTCCAGCCTTAGTATATATTGTAATTATAATTCGTAATACATAAAAATGGATGTAATATTTTGTACTAAGACATTACGTAACAAGATTAAGAAACATTACACACGTGTGTAACCCCACGAATGCATTATTGCATTATAACTCAGGTTGTGTATGATATTTTGTCTGTGACCACACTTATTCCAATTAAATAAAATAGAATGTCTTTTGTTCACTTATAAGAATATATTAATGCGAGATAATTAAATATTTACAGTTCATGATATTAGCTAATTATTGTTTCGTACAGTGTGATTAACGTGTACATATTTTAAATCGATATAGAAATATTATTTAAAAAGTTTTTAAAAAATCTTGGAAAGAGTTGAAGCGTTTTCCTCAAAGTTTTTTTGCTAGGTCTGAATAATTAGGTTCATTGCTTAATTAGCAAGTAACGAACATAACCTCATTTTTTTTATTGTTATTGTTATTTTATTTTATTATATTTTGTCATATTTTAAGTAATTTACCATCTGATAATGATGTTACAGCCAACATAATGTTTTCGATTGTATTTGTAACTCCTACATATTTAAAATATTTATAATTATTTTAACTAAAAAAAATCAAAGGAAAATATAAATCGTTATATATTGTTGAAATCAAGAAGAAAATCTCTACAGGGTGTATTTTCGTTTGAAATAAATGTCATAAGTTGTTTGACAATATTAAAACAAAAATTCATAGATTACTTGATATAATTTTTAAATTTTTTTGAATACGTGTGTTACGCAATGAATTTATGTATGATCACGGTATATGTATATTAAATTAAACACATTTGCAGGGATTTATATTTACCTTCGAATAAACAAATATAGTGCAGAATATCACACAAAAAATGAAAAACCAAATTTGGACTATAGTTACTTACAAAATTATCCTTGAGTAGTAATTAAAAATTAAACATTTAGCCTTTCTTCATTTACATTAGTCAATATTAAAATATGATACTATTATAATCCAACACTCTGTAATAATATCAATCTGTTGACGACATACATGTATTGCATGTTATTAATGTGGTTAATAAAACATGGTTTTCATTTTTCAAGTCAAAACTTATTTATAACTTATGAACGTTGCAATCTCAGTTGCATTGCACCTTGCAATCATACCTATATTATTATAAAATTACTTGTTCCTGTTTATATGAACTTTGAAATAATTACTGGACTGTACATAAATTTTAAAATTACACTTACACAGTGGCTGATTTATTTCTTAAAGTATTACAATGGTCCCAAAATTTGGTCAACTTTCTAAGTTATGAATATTATAAAAATTAGACATAATATTTCTCATTAATTGAACAGATTTGAAAATTATCCACGACACAATTTATAAGTTAACTAAATAAATATAGCGATGAAATATCGCCACCGACGTGTAAATTCCGTATTAAAATTCTCCAAACGGTATTTGCGAATGTGCAGATGGGTAGAGTAAAATAGAAACTCTTCAGTAACTAAGATTCAGATGATATAACGGAATATGAAAAATCAGTATTATTCCTAATATTTTTATTACATATATAAAATAGGGTTGTACCCTGTGGTTATCTTTCATAATTTATTGAAGACAAAAAATATTTTGCTGCATATAATTTTGTTAGGTCCATCAATCTATTATTGGTATTAGTCATCCATTAAAATTTTGCAACACATGGCCTCGGTGATCATGGATTCCGCAAACATCTATAGATATCTTATAAGGCAGCAGCACCGGATATCCAATATTGCTCACTTGTTATGGAGCGGCTTTGACAGGAAACACTATAAGCCATAAAACATTGATATAGAATGAAATCGGTACCATTAAAACTTGCTTGTTTTTGTCCAGATTAAGTCTGGTCGTAATATTAGGTACGTAGATTATACATAAAGCCATGATCTGTTTATTCAACAGAGAATCTAGCAATAAAATTAGTAATTGACAATATGACAAATAATCGTTGAAACTCGCAAACATCTACAGATTAATACGATAAGCAGTCAGACCCAATGTGAAGGTACTTTAATTTGTATACCTAATCATATGGTTCTGTGACAATCGACTATTTTCCAAAACTAAATAGTTGAAAATCGCATATTAAACTCTATTTTGTAATAAAGCAACTACACAATTTTTCCATTATCATAGCTTTAATATATTAAAATTCTTTTTATCAAGTAAATGTCCACCAATTATGAGTTGATTTAGCATCATTCTCAAAAATAAATATTCTGAAAATAAATAGGAAAACACAACTCAGCATACATATATTAGTAAAATTGTATGTGATATTTGTTTTGAATAATCGACGCGTGTGGATTTTAAAACGGACTGAATTTATTAATTAAAAATAATTTGCTATTTTTTCCATAATTAGCCTTAATTCTGAATTGTGTCAGGAAATATAAAAATAAAATCGTAAAAAGTTTACAATACGTGAGAAACAGGAAATACAATAAAATGCCAGTAAACTCATTAAAATAAATCAGAATTTTAAAAAAATTTCTTTGGAAGGATTAATTAAGAATGTTTGTATTTAGAGAATGGACAAAATTTCAAAAGTATTTAAAAAATGTGACAGAAAAATAACTTAAATAAGCATAAATTTTATAGGCGTAAGCCTAACAAAAAGACAAATTAAAATAAAATGAAAAAAATGTTTGATTTTTTTTTCAAATATTAATGTTATTATGACAATGCTGATAAAATAACGAAACTTAGATAGTCTATCCATCTCTTTTTTATATTTAAACCGGTGAAATAAAATTATATTCCATAAAAGAATATGTAATAATCGGATGAAAAATAATAAAAGAAATCCTTAGAATATATGCATTGTTCATATATATTGACATAGATATATGCACCTATAATATGCAGACACAGATAATACGTATAATAATTATGATCAATTCTACCAAAATAATGTAAATAATTTGAACAATCTAAACAAATCAGGCTTAGAATATGAACAACAAGGGAACAAAGTTCAATTGAATTAAATCCAAAATTAATTAACCCTGAGGTGACATATGTCGCTCATTTATCGAAAAATTTTGTACTCTTATTTTTAAACGTGGGACTAACAGATTCTTGACATCAGCTGACAATTTATTGTAATATTTCAAGGCACAATATGGGAAGCTATTTTGTTAAAATTGAGTATATATGTCTTGCGACGGATATGTACGAGTGTCGCATTCAGTCATAAAAAAATATATACAATAAATTTTCACCTGTAATGTTTGGACTGCGAGAAGATCCGTTAAAAGGGTTACCTAAGGGCTAGCTCAGATCCTTTGTTACAGACCTTCTCGCGGTCCAAACACTAAAGGTTATTGTTCCTTTTTTTATTTTTTTTTATAATAGAACTCACAAACAGGTATGATCGCAAATTTGGCGCCCAACGTGGGGCACGAACGCACGACCCTGAGATTACAAGTCTCATGTCCTATCAATTGAGCTAGCCGAGCTGCTAACAACTAGCTTGGATAAATAATATCCACAAAGGTGTTCAGGCAAAATCAGTATAATACAATCAATAGGATAACCAGGTTTGTAGCCACAAGTCGTCACCACAGATTTAAATCCATGGATTATAGGGGTTAGAAAAATATAGAGAGATATATCTAAATTACTTACTCAAGGATTTATGGTGGCTTTAAAATGTGATACAAGAGACTGCTTGTGATTATTGGATTCTTTCTACGTAAAATATTACATATAAACATTTAAACAAATCTAAATGGGACACGTCTTCCCAAATAAATTAGCTAAGGTAAATTTTCTATATGTGTTAGTGGTTATATGTATCCAACAGTTAAGTAATAAATTATAATTTTGCACGACGCTTAATTATTGTGAATGTATACTTGAAATTTTGTCTGCGTCTTGCTTATATACGATAACGGGATATGATTTACAAGTAAATTGTCTGCCAGAATTTAAATATTATCGTATCAATTTTTCCTGTTTAAAAACAACATTCCCCAAGTAAAATACGAGTGCAACCGTTAAAACGATATTTTTGGAATAAAATGTTTTATTTTATTTTAAACAGCAGGTAAAGTAAAAGTTAGAAAATGTTTGGCTTACGTTAAACTAGAGATAATTATTCTATGTAAAAAACTCCTTAAAAAGTTTTCACTGCTGTCCTCTGGCTGTCACATTTTTTGCAATTTCAGTAATGTATAATATAATCAAATTTATTTCAATTTGGTGGAGCCTCAATCAAATCGTCCTGAAAGCCCGAATCAAAGCTGCTGAACAGGAAAAACTGTTTCGGCAGCACGTCGATAAACTATAAAGCATTCTATAAGAACATAGAAACACTGGGTTTATCAACAGGCTCACATTCGCCTTTAAGGTTAGCCGTGTTTAAATCAGAGACCAAGAGAATCATTATGGCCTGCCAGGATGGTGTCATCAACACCTTGGTCTACCCAGTGGCGGCTGGTGAAATATGGGCTATGTCATATCTTAGTATTGGACATGGGACCCTAGCGATATTTTAAGGCGTAACTAGCAAGACTAAATGAAGAAGTTTTGCAAAAAAAAAATTGCGATTGAAATTTGCGAAAAAATTTGGAAAAGTTGTGAGCTTACTAATTTTTTAAATGATTTTTAAAATATTTGCGCAATATATTTTTTTTCAAGAATCAGCTGGAAAATATAACAATACGTTTCAAATTTTATAAGAAAATATTGATTTTTTTACAAAGTTGCACCTTTTTTGAAATTTGCACAATGAAAAATGAATTTAAAATAAAATTTCAAAACGGTATAACTTTATAGAAAGCAATATTTTTTTATGAAATTTGCAATCTGTCTTTATATTTTCCACCTGATTTTGGAAAAAATGTTTCGCAAATAATTTACAAATCGTTTAAGTTGGAGGTTCACAATTTTTCCAACTTTTTTTCGTAAATTTCAATCGCAATTTTTAATCTGCAAAACTTCTTCATTTAGCCTTGATAATTACGCCTTAAAGTATGGCTTGGGTCCCATGCTTCAATATTAAGATATGACATAGCCTAAATTTCACCAGCTGCCGCTGGGTGTACCGTAGCCGCGTGTGGTGTGTAGAGGTTCTTGATATCAACTATCGGACCTAACATTAGGCGCCGGAATCGCTCATGCACTCATGCGTGCCTCATATATGCGATTTCGTGCTATATTCACCGAAATAACGCTGCGTTACAAGTAGCATATTTCTATGTAAGGCACTCGAACGGGGTAGACCAGACACAAGTGCTGGCTTACGTCTCTGGAAATATTGAGTCCGTTGTCGACGACAGGAAATGTCGCATTTATTGGAACTGCTCGTTTCCGACTGTCGGGCTAATTTAAATCAATAAGACTGATATAGTCGTTCTCGTGATGCATGTTATCGAATTTTGGCTTCTGCCCAGAAAAATATCACGTTGAGGGAGGAGTAAAAACGGACAAGATATAGCGATCTCCGGTACAAGCTCCAAGTGCTGTATCCAAGCTACTGTGTCAAGATGGTCGTCCTAATACGCTTTTCTCAGAAAAGAAGACCATACTGGGCAAAGTGGCTGGTAGTCCAAATGCAAAAGACGTTCAGAAGGGTTCTCTCTGTCTGCTTAAGGCAGATTAATCTGGGATCTACAGGTGCTAACCCAGCGGGATGTGGGGAGTGTTGTAGGTAATTTACTGACGCTTCATCCGTGAGGTTCGGATGCCACGGGAGGATTGTCCAGCGTCGAGTACCAAAAAAAAAATTTTCTTAATTCTATTAATTCTTAATATTTTCAAAAACTTTATTTATTATCGATAATTAAAGCACATGATTAAACTAAATTAATTAAAATTGAAATATCGAGAAATATACTGAGATTGGTTCTGTTACCATACTGATGATAACACTCGCCAATGTGGGTAATATCTCGTATATAATTATGTAATTGGAAACAACAGAAGACATGACAAATCATAAAAAAGAAATGCCAATATTTATATGTTGACTGCATGAATGTTTCCGATTAAAATTTAAATACACATATTGTAATTTTTCTATCATTATAGGTTTAAAGCAGTGTTTGATTAACATGTAAATAGTTCTAAAAATAATAAAATTTCATATTCATGCTCTGAGAAACAATTATGCTAATATGAGATTGCGTTAGAAAAATTATTACAACGAAAACAAATGAACGTATTAAAATGTTTTGGGGCTACTGAAACTTGAATAGAACAATCAGGTCGTTTTGGGTGGGTATGTATACATATGTATATGTATCTGCCCACCCAAGATCACTCCATAAAACCTTCCTTCAGTTCTATTTTCTGCAAATGATTAACAATAGAAATAATAATTAAGAGAAATTGGTTATCATAAAAATATTAAACACAAATTAAGATATATATACATCAGGGTGATTCTTTCATCTCTCTACAAGCCGTAACAGTTCATTGCAAATATAAATATGAAATTTGGAATATCGCTACTATTTCATTGGGTGACCTAGACAATTTTCTTATTTTAAATGAAATACCTTGTATATTATTACAGTATTGGAAAAACCGTTAAATTCTGATTAAATTAATGGTATATATTTGAGGTCTCCCTTAATTGTCTAAAAAGAGATACAACGGATTAAATAGCACCATATAGCTTGATGTAACAATTTAAAAATTAAGAGGTGTTCATGTCTTAAACTATAAACAGATTTCAAATTGTTTCAATTAAATCTTACCGCAGTGATTTCAAAATTAAAAATTGAAAGAAGCTTTTTAAAATAGTTGAAATTACCTAATCTAACAAATTAATTCATCTGAGTGCAAGGGCAATTCGTATGTGTCGTTCCTTCTAACTTCTCCCTGTATATTATACTTGAGCTTCTGAATGGTATGTGGATGATTGATGTAAACTTTGGACATTAGATAGCGCCACAAAAAGAAATCACAAGTTGTATTGAGCGCCAGATGTAAAAAGTTGTGATGAATTGAGGTCCAAATATGTTTGAAATGGGAAATCTTCACAAGCACCTCCACCAACAAACTGCAACACTATTGGTTTTCATAAAACGGATCCACTTTCAAAGGTTAATATGAAGACAGTCATGTATATCTACACTTGAGTTAACTTCGCCCACAACATTGAGATGGAAAATTTGCAATGAGCAACTCATTCCAATTTTGATGTCACTACCTCTGGTACCACAATAATATAAAGTACTAGTTTTTCTGTAACTGTAAGGTGATTGTGTATCACGAAATTGCTCATACATAAAAGGAAAGTTCATATGTAGAGAAATATGCAAATGCGCTAATGATATCAATAAATAATATTAAGAAAAGAACAGAAATTTCAGTTGGATATTTTCAATATTATATAATTATTTCAAAAATTGTCTTCTTATATTTTCCGTTTATGTTTAGAGCGTCTATATACGTATTTCGAATAAAAATATTATCAGAACCGTAGCGGTGGTCTGTGACTAATTCCAAAATCATGGTATTTGACGGAATCACTTTATTAGTGCATTCGCAGTCTGTTTTTGTGGTATATAACCCCCAAACATCAAAATCGTGTTTTAGTTCAATCTACCATATTCTAGTCAAATATTATTATTGAATACCTTTTACGTACTTTAATTACATGCGTGTTTACGACCGTTGCCATTTTTTAAATTACATGAATAGTAGTCTCTGGAACCAAATATCTCTAAGCAAAACAAAATTTCGTATCATAGTACTTATATCGTCTAAATTCTGCAACCAAAGCATTTCAAGGGACGCCATTTTGCTTAGCATTTTCAAGCGAAAAAAATTCAAATAATAGCTTGGCTGTCTCGATATTTGAAAATGGAACCTTTTTTTACAAGAGAACAGCAAAACTAAAAATAATTGAAGACTTTTCAACTACTGCAACATTTTCAGTACCGAATAGTTTTCAATAGTCACAAGAATAACCACCATTTAATAGTGAAAATAAAGCTAGATACCAATTTATCCAAAATGCACTCACCTAGGTTCCTTTGCAGATGATGCACCTTTCTTGTCCGATGAGCTGGAAAGGCAGTAGGTCCGTTTCTTCCTTTTCTTCAGGCACAACACATTAGTGGTCAACATGTTATCCGATTTAATTTCACACAAATCACGGAAAACAATACATAGGTAACTAACAAGACACGAAAACCATAAGAACTAAACCACTACTAAGAATTTATTTATCGAGGCAAGCAATATGCTATTTGCAAATATCGGCGCCGTAGTAGTCATATTGCAAGGTGTACAGCTTGTGCATCGCTAATGACTTTAATTTAATTGGGAATTCAATTAAAGTAAGTCGATTCTTATTGGTCCGTTTATCTGAAAAGAAATATATAATTACTTGACATGATAACATATAATATATTTGGCATAGATAAAGCAGAGTTTTGCCGTGGTAAATTATAAAATTATTAATTTTAGAAATATTGTAAGAGAAAAGCCTTCATTCTCTTAA